TCTCTCTCTCTCTCTCTCTCTCTCTCTCTCTCTCTTTCTCTCTCTCTCTCTCTTGCTGTGTGTGTGGGTGTGTGCGCGAGAGTGTTTGTATGTGTGAGTGTATGTGTGTGTGTATGTGTGTGTGTGTTTGTCTCTCTCCTTCTCTGTCTCTCGGATGCACAGCTACCACCATCGGGTGCTCTCATGGTCTGGAGGTTCGATGTTCGCCTCTCTTTCAGTAGGTCCCGGTTTCGAAACCGGGCAGCGACGGAAAATTTTCATCTCTAAATTTGTCTCCTTTCACCTCCTTTCCGCATCTAACCATCTTCTGTCGTCTGCCTTCGTCCCCACATTCTGCCCCCACCCCGACCCCCTCCTCTAGCCCCCCTAACTGTTTCTGCAGCCTTTCTACTGCTACTTATGTGCCCCTTCTTACTGCTGTCTTTCAGTTACTCCCCTGATCTTAGGGTAGGTAAGATCTAACAGCTTATGACAATATGCAGTTGCGACCGCAATTAACACTTGATAAAAAAAAAAGCAAAAATTAAATAGTAAAAAAAAATCAGAAAAAAGCAACAATAAAAACAAACAAAAAACAAACAAACCCAAAACAAGCAAAAACAAAAAACAAAAGAAAAAAAAACACCATGGACCTTGTTGAGCTGGAAGTATGGGCGTTCTTGTTTTAGTACCTGCGGTGGTCGAGCCTTTTCCTCGGTTATTTCCCTTTATCTTCAGCCTTTGCTTCACTGCTCAGATTAACCGATCGTTAGGCCAACACATTTTTTTTCATAATACCGTATCGCCTCTCAACATTAAACAAATAAAACAAAAATTGAGAATTTTGCATGTAGCCGGTTTGGGAATAAAACCGCCGATATTGTGAAAATCAAAAATGTTGATGTCAAATTTCTCTTACTTAGCAAACAGAACTTTGTCAATTCTAGTGTAGCAAGTTATAGAATAGCGGAAATTTCCGTTCCCCAGCACGCTGAATGCCAAGACTTGATAGGAGGCACTTTCATGAGTCGAAAATCTAGGGAAAATCTTTCATGACTAGACAATGAGAAGAACATATTTTATTTAAACATTTGACAATCTAGAGAAAATCTTTCATTTATACATTCGGCAGTCTAGAGAAATCTTTCATGACTCGACTATCTTAGAGAAAATCTTTCTTTTAAACGTTCGACAATCTAGAGAAAATCTTTCATACATTCGGCAATCTAGAGAAATCTTTCATGACCCACCAATCTAGAGAAAAATCTTTCATGACTCGACATTCATGACTCAACAATCAAGAGAAACAATTTTCAAGAATCTACATTCATGACTCGACAATCTAGAGAAAATCTTTCTTTTTAACATCTTCTACCGCAAACGGGGATCCCCGTTCGTTTCCCGTCGCCCTACACATGAGGTTTCCACAAATACAACAATAAAGGTTTGTTGTCTATCTTTTTACTTTGTGTATTCATGAAAAACAGGTTCGTCGCCTTTATAGTTCGTGTTGTATTAAGCAAAAAGGTTATCTGGCTCGCACTCAGCATTCTCTCAGTAAACCGGCCCACTTTGAAAAAAAAAAAAAAGAAAGACAAAAATGTTTGGTGAACCCGGCTCTAAACAATTTATAATATATATATACATTTATATATTATATATATATATATATATATATATATATATATATATATAATTATTACTATGACAATAGCCCCCCCCCCCCTTTTTTTCTTTCATTTTCATTTCTCATTGTCCGTGTTTCATTTGAGTATTCCCAATGAGATGCATCATCAGTTGTCTCGCCCTGCCTTCCCGCCAGGACCTGACGTGCCCGCGAGTGGCCGCCCTACACCAGCTGTCCAGGCTCAGGGAGCGCGGGCTGACCATGTTGTGTGGTGTAGAGATGGAGTTCACGCTCACAGACCTCGCCACGGGCCAGGGGTTCGGACACACCAACCAGTTCACAGACATGAACGTTCTCTGTCACAGCCAGGTCAGAAGATTGGATGGATGGGGCTTCTGGGTCTGGGGGTTTTGGGGTTCTGGAGGGGGGGGGGTTGTTTGTTTGTTTATTGTTGGGATTTTTTTAGGGGGGGTTCTATTTTTTTTTTTTCAATTGTGGATAACTCACTACCTTTTAAACACAGAATAAGTTATTTCGAAAGGGAACATTTATCATTATTAACATCATCATCATCATTACTATCATTATTTTTTTTTATATTACTGTTATTATTGTTATTATCATTAATATTAGCATCATTATCATTATCATTATTATTATCATTATCACTTTCATTGGCATTGTCATTGTCTTAGTCATCTTTATCAGCAGCAGCAGCAGCAGCAGCAGCAGCAGCAGCAGCAGCAGCAGCAGTATCATCATTATCCTCATCATCATCATCATCATCATCATCATCATCATCATCATCATCATCATCATCATCAACACAACAATGAACTGGTCGGAAAGGGCCCCAACGCCTTGATCTCAGTGCTTGGCCTGTCAGATCCCCAGACCTCATTGTGTGTGATTTTTTTAGCGTTAAATTTTTTCCGCCGGAGGAGGGGGTATGGGGGGGTAGTAAAGGATTGCGTTTATGTTCCAACACTAACCTCGATGACCGTAACCATCGAATAGCAGCTGCAGCAATCAAGTCAGTGGACCGTGATGTGCTGAGACACGTCTAGGAAGAATTCTCTCATAGCACTGATGTTGCCCCTGTTGCTGGTGGTGGCCACATTGAACACTTATTGATAGCTCGTTCACTTTCGTCTGACCGCGGTTAAAACGGGATAAAGACAAATCGCTCTGTTTAATCTTTCTGGGTCGTTGCATGCGGGTCTAACAGTTAAGCGAGCAACAGAATCTGAAAGCCCATTCATATAAGTCACTGCAAACTAAGGTTCCGACACGTTTTCTTTAACGTAAGCGGGTCTAAAAAATAATAGGGGGAACTTACCCTACAGCATACACCTAAAACATTGAAAAGTTGACATGTTTTCCTCAACACCACTTTTTTACGTTCACCTAAGAAACACCATTCAAGAGACGGGGTGAGTATTTTTCGAGACTCACGTTGAGCACGTCGGATGACATCGACAAGCTTACTCTGAAATGTTGGGGTAGGGTGGTGTCGCTGTCTCAAAATGAGTAATTTGTTGGCAAGGCTACTGTGATCCTGTGTGTGCATCCAGAGAGCGGTTTTTAATATAGAGCCCAAAGAGACAAACGTTTTTATTACTAGATCTAGGTGAATATTTTTTAAAATAATATTTTTGTTTGGTCGCTGACTGTAGAAGTGCCATGCAAAGTTTCGTGGGTAGAATTTTTTTAACGCGGTCAGACGAAAGTGAACAAGCTATTATAGCAGACGCCTGCGTTTTTACGCCATTTTGCCGTTTCGGTCAACTGGACCGGAACGGTTTTAACTTCTGATTTGCTATTAAGCAGAGAGGTTTAGCTGTGAGCTCTAACCTCTTTGTCGCTGATAGAATTTTGTCATTATGAAAAGATCTTGGGATAAACCGATAGAACAATGTAATTCTGTGAATATCTCGAAAACGACTCGGAATGATTTTATCATTTTGATAGAGCATATATAGAACATTTGATTTCTGACCTAATAGTCCAAATAACTCATTGCGGCCAAAAAAAGGCAGATAGAAGTTTGTAATTCTGAGGTAGCGACTTGTAGGACAAGAAATAGACTGTTGATTGTGAGTACAATACTTGGGACTTACCTTGTGTTTCGTTTTGGTACGTATTTTACGGCAATTGCAACACAATAAGGTCTTATAAGTGCCGAAGAATAGATGTGTCACAAGAGAGTAACTACATAAAAAAGGAGGAGAGATAAAGACGATAGATGTTTGTTAGGAAAGAAGGAGCAAACCACACCAGAGCACCCGCCAACCTCCCACGGACTTAGCTTGTGCTTTCTATTATTTTCCCTTCTTGAAATAGGGCGTAGTGAAATGAGTTAATTGTTTGAGTTAATTGGTTTGTTTGTCATCATCATCATCTTTGCCTTTCTTACCCTGCACCAGGGTATAGGCCACGGACAAAAACCTTCCACCTTTCTCTTTTATGGGTTAGCCTCTGGATGTTATTCCATGTCTTTCCACTTTTCTGTACATCGATTTCTGTGATTCTTCTCCAGGTTCCACGAGGTCTTCCCCTTAATCTCTTGCCCTGTGGGTTACAATCCAAAACTTTTTTTGTTATGCGCTGCCTGACTTCCTGAGAGTATGTCCAATCCATCGCCATCGCCTTCTTCCTACCTCATCTCTGACTGGGATCTGTCTTGTTTTCCTTAACACTTCCACATTGGTGACCCTGTCTGTCCATCTGATCCTCAATAACTTTCTTAGACACCTGTTCATGAAAACCTGGATCCTCTTTATGCAAGTCTGTGATGCGTTCCATGTCTCACATCCATACAACAGGACCGACTTCACGTTTGAATTGAAAATCCTTAATCGGTTTGTGCATGTCGTGTTCTTCAGGACCTGTTGCTTGACTTTATGGAGGACGCCCAGGAGATGGGGATTTCCCTGACCACACTACAGGTGGAGGAGGGGGTGGGGGCGTTTGAGTTCACCACTGACCCCATGACGGGAATTGAGGTCAGTGGAGTCGTAAAACACTCGTTTTATTCTGTCTCTCTCTCTCTCTCTCTCTCTCTCTCTCTCTCTCTCTCTCTCTCTCTCTCTCTCTCTCTCACTCACACATACACACACACACACACACACACACACACACACACACACACACTCTCACACACACACACACACACACACACACACACACACACACACACACACACACACATACACACACCTGTCCAGTACTTTTAAATATGATAGCGCCATGAATGAAATGCACCTTGAGCATATTTCAGAAAACGCATATGTGCAGCATAAATTCTATTTATTATTGCTATTGCCACTATTATTGTCATTATAATAATTATTATTACTATTACTATTATTTTTATTATTATTATTATCATCATTATTATTATTATTGTTGTTATCGTTGTCGTTGTCGTTGTCTTTGTCTTTGTCTTTGTCCTTGTCATTGTCGTTGTTGTTGTTCTTGTTGTTGTTATTTTGGTTAAGTTTTTGTTTTTACTTCTGTTTTATTTTTGTCTTCGTTTTTGTTTGGGTTTTTTTGTCCAGTGTCCCTTTTTCGGAAGCCATGTTAGCGACCTTTTGCCTGTCAGACAATTATTGACTACAGAACTGTGAGTGAGCATGTAATGATGACATTTCAACGTTAAAACGGATCCTTCAGAAAATAGGAATAACAATTATTAGGTCTGTAATTTGTTCATGTTTGATTTATTGAATTTATTTGTTCTGAAGCTTCTGTGGCCTACTGTCTCCATGCAGTAATGTTTCCACGACACCCGTGCACTAATTCAAAATTTCCTACCAACTGAAAATGTTTAGTGTGTCCCGCGCGCTCGTATAAGCGTATGCAATTGCGAGCACTGTAAAAACTTACCCCCTGCTTTTAAACATTAAACATTTTTTTAAAGCACTCAAAAAAGCACTAAATCTTATATGTTTCCACGACACCTTTTGCGGCAGGCCATAGACGTAACAGCCCGCCTCCGAAACGCCATGGACGTGTTCTTCAAGTCCCGCGGCTACCAGGTGTCCTTCATGACCATGCAGACACTCGACCCCGGGACGGCCACGGTGCAGCAGCTGAACCACTCGCTGTGGACGGCAGACGGACAGAACGCTCTCCACGACAGCTCCGACCCACAGGGACTCTCCAAAGTGGCGAGACACTGGCTAGCGGGGCTCGTGCATCACGGACCGGCGCTCACGGCGTTTGGCCTGCCCACCGTCAACTGCTACAGGTGAGTACATAGCGTGTGTGTGAGCACATAGTGTGAGTACATAGTGTGTGAGTATATAGTGACATAGTGTGAGAGTACATAGTGACATAGTGTGAGTACATAGTGTGTGAGTACATAGTGGGAGTACATAGTGAGAGTACATAGTGGGAGTACATAGTGTGAATACATAGTGTGAGTACATAGTGTGAGTACATAGTGGGTTTAGGGGGGGGGGGGGTTGTAAGTGTTTTACGGTGCTCGCAACTGCATAAGGTCATATGAGCGCGCGAGACACATTAAACATTTACTTTTTCAGTTGGTGGGATATTTTGAATTTTGCCCAGGTGGTGGCTGAAGTCTACTCTTGTAGATTTTAAATCACCAAGGGATCTTTAACGTGCGCAATTTGCTCATGGGACGTCGAGGATTTTCGCCTTTGTCCCAGTAGGCTATGTGTAGATCTTCCCTACCAGAAGATCAGGAGTGTGGCTGAAGAAAGACAGCAGTAAGGAGGAGCCAATGAGTAGCAGTAAAAAGGCAACAGAAAGAGTCAGGAGCCCAGAGAATGGGACAAAGGAGGTGAAGGGGTGGGGGCAGAATGTGGAAACGGAATCAGACGATAGAACATTGGCAGAGAGCTGGCAAGGAGGAGAAAGGAGACAATTTCATAGAAGAAAATAGTACCTTACAACTGAGTACACAGTGGCTGGGGCGTGGTGAGCTTTTGTTTTTTGTTGGTTTGTGGCTCCTTAATTGTTTCGTTCGCCTGGCTGGTTGTTTGTGTGTTTTTTTTGTTGGCTGGATAGTTGGTGGGAATGTTTGTTTT